AATTATCTAAGCAATTTATATATAAATGAGAACTCAAGGATAATTTTTAGATGCAACCTTGAGTCAAGTATTTTCTTTTTTATTATTTCGTTTGTTTGAAATGCCTTTAAAAGGTTTTTTTTTATATTATAAAATCATTTATCTAGCGATACAAAATGACAGTCAGCTGCATTCCTAAATCAAGTTCGTCTACCATTTTGTTATTTCATTAATTATTATTTCATTCACTCAACGAGTATTTAAATCCATAGCATCATTATACTATAGATAAAATCGAAAGATAATTTATCCAACAACTCAGAATATTAATTAAATGCATCCTCGATATTCGAAGTCACCACAATCTGATTTTAATATTAAAACGAATTAATCCTAAGAGAATGATTATGTTGTATATCCAATTTTTTGTTTACATATTATTTTATTTTTACAAGCATTTAAATTCGACGAATCCTTTTAGATAAAAAATATTTCTAGTCTCTTTAATAAGAAAAAAATAAAAGAGAGAAAAATAAAGAAAGAAAAAAAGAGAGAGAGAAAGAAAGAGAGAGACATAGAAGGCGCCGCAAAATTGGCAGCTTAATAAAAGAAGCGACGGTGAATCGGCTGCAGTTGATCGATTCGAAACTGCACTTTCATCGTGATAACGATCGCTCATCAAGCGTACACCTAGTATTTCTTTTATCTTCCCCGATTCCTTCTTATTCTTTCGTCGTCGTTGATCGATCTCGTGCTCTCCAACGCGCACTCTCACACACCAACTACACTCCCACACGCACGCATGCACACACGCACACTAATGCAAGCACATGCATACGCGGGGCCGGTGATACCCGTTTTTGAAGGTGCGCTAGAACGCGCTTTGGTTCTTCCTTCCTTTATTTCGTATTTTACATTCTTCCTAACCGATGTTGTATTTTTAATCGAGAGGGGGCCCTCCCCCTTCCCCCCACACCCCACCTTCTTCTTCTTCTTCTTCTTCCCCTCTTCACTAACTCCCTATCCATCTTTCTTTCTTTCTCTCTCTCTCTCTCTCTCTCTCACTCTTTCTTTCTCTCTAAATTTATTTCACATTTTTTTTTCCTTTTTACTTTCAATCTTAAAAAGAATTCGGCTATTACGAACGTTCAGTTTCGTTCGTTAAAGAGCATAAATTAGATCCAACAATCGAATTTTCTTAATCGATCGGTCAACCCAATTCGTTTCATTCGAACGACTTAGGAAAAGAAAAAAGAAAAAAAGAAAAACAGAAAATAAATCTGTGAATTAATTATTAAACGTTAAAATGTTCGAAAATTCGATTAATACAGGTTTCAGTGGATCTTTGGATACGCGTTTCATTCGTTTGAAGCAATTATTCGAATCGACGAAATTAAACTAACTGTCGAATTTAAACGAAGCCTTTCGTACAGAAACACGATACACGATCGAAAAATCCATTTAGGGTTGAAACGAGTGTGTATGGTATATACGATATCTTAATTCCAAGGTATCGTCATCGTTGTTGCACTTACACAATCATCACAAAATTCTTACTACCTCGTTCGAGAAAGATCTCAATCGAATCCTTTTCGAGAAAAAAAAAAACAAAAAAAACATAAAATTAAAAATATCGTTTAGATTAATAGAAAAAAAAAAAACACAACAAAAAATCATTTCAATTTGATCGACAAAAATAACCAAAATTTAACGCGTTCTCTGCCACCTAAGTTTTACATATTTTTTAAATGATTCACGTAGTCCCTCTCTTCCTTCTTCTATCGACAAAAAAAAGAAGAAAAAAATAAACTACGATCAGAAATAATCCACGTGGTACACGAATGATTCCCATTGGCCATTAATGATCCACTTTTTTCCATTGAAATAACAAACGTCGGCCACGAATGACCCACGTGGCAACAAACGTCTTCTTAAATGACATTGTCGATTGAAATAAAAAATGGCCGATAGAAATTTGCGATTTTGATTTTTCGTAAGCTCGAATACTTTGTCGTTGCTATAATTAAGATGCGCCACAGAAATGAAAATAAGAAGTAGAAGACAAAAAAAGTGCAGGGAACGAGAAGGGAGGGTATTATCAGAAAACATCGGGAAGGAAAGTAGAAACGAAAAAAAAAAAGAAAAAGAAATAATAAGGAAGAGGAGGAAAAAATAGGAGATTTCTAACAACGAGCTTTCTTCTCTCTCCCTCTCTCTTTCTCTCTCTCTCTCTCTCGTTTTGGCTCGAAGAAAAAGGAGAGACTTTGAAACAAGCGCGTTCATCTTTTATTCTTTTTCCCGGTACAGTAATCAACATACCAATTTGCGATCTCTACAATAGCGTCTCATCGTCTCCCATTTGCGTCTCTCTCTCTCTCTCTCACTCTTACTCTCTCACTCTCTCTTACTCTCTCTCTCTTCCACTCCCCCTCTCACTCTCTTTCTCTTTCTCATTTTTTAATATTTTTTCTTTTTACATCGATATCTTGGAGGAAAGAAAGAGATAAAATAAGGTGGATGAAGAGAAGAAGAAGAATAAAAACAAAAAAAAAAAGAAAATAAAAAAAGAAAGGAAAAAGGACGAAGAAAAGGAAAGAAAAAAAAGGAAACGCAAGGAGAGATCGTAGAGCCTCATCAACGGAGCACAAAGTCTCCTTTGTCTTTCGTTCTCTCGCAGATCTTCGTCGAAAGTCATTTGTGGATCTTCGTTCGCGCGTTTTTGCGCGTCTCAATCGAGTAAACACGTTAATCGATACCGGGGTAGAGAATCTGAAGAAATAGGGTTGGAACATGGAATTGAACTAAACGAGAATTGACGAGGGTAGATGAGGAAGGTTTTATAAAACAAGAGAGAAATTGTATCAACGTTAAAATTATATTATATATGCATGTTAACGATAATAACAAATTTGATTATTTTTATGAATAATAGACAAATTAAGCAATAATATTTAACAATCGGAATCAAAATGGATAGAAAATTTTCATTCGTATTAAACTGCAAGATAATGGAGATGTGAAGGAAATGTTACGTATGAAAGATGTGCATCCACATTAACGTTAATGATAACAATAATAATAATAATAAACGAATGAATTAATGAAATACGATGATAAGATTCGCGAGAGAAAAGAAAAAAGAAAAACAGGGGGTATCGAGATTTAATTCGTAATAATCGAAAGTTAGATTTTATTTGTCAATAAAGTGTAGATTTTTATTGAGCAAAAGCGTTGAAAAAAAGGAATAGACATTTAACTGGTCATTATAACTGCAACATTGGCGGACTCTTGACAATGTTCCTCCTTCACAAGGGAAATGTTCTAACTCTTAGGATTTTATCCGTTGATAAATAAAAATGTATAAGTAAATAAAATAAATGAAGGGAATAAGGAAAGAAGGAAAAATAAACGTTAAACCTGACGTTATTCGAACGAGCTGTGTATGCAAATATCGCGTAATATGATAGCAAATATACGAATATTCGCGGGCTACGGGTTCGTAGCGGGTGTAAACTTCTCGGGTTTTCTACAAACGCGTGTGTTTATCGGAAACAAGAAGAAAGAAAGAAAGAAAGAAAGATAGAGAGAGACCAAAAGAAAAAAAACGAAGGAAAAGGAAGAGTACGAGAGTAGCAACAGCAGCAACAGCAGGATCACCAACAGAAGAAGAAGAAGAAGAAGAAGAAGAGGATAAGAAAGAGAAGAAGGAATAAGAGTAGGAGGAGGAAGAGGCGAATGAGGATGAGGTTTAACCTCCTCGTAGGATCCGCGACGAAATCGGCGGTTGGAAACGGCCATGAACCATTTTCGCCCTTAGAGAGAGCACCGTACACAGCACAGACAAAATAAAAATGCGACGTTAGAGAAAGAGAGTGAGTGAGTGAGTGAGATACTCGAGATGTTGGTGAACGAGATGAAGGAAGAAGAAGAAGAAGAAGAAGAAGAGTAGGAGGAGGGGGAGGAGGAGGAGGAGGAGGAGGAAAAAGAAAAGGAAGGGGAACACCGAGCAACTTCTCTCACCCGGTTTGGGCTGGCTTGGCCTTCCAAGGGGCCAACCTAGACGCGTGATTCTCATCTTGCGCTGGTCCACCAGGAGAAAAGGAACCTACAATTCTTCTCTCTTTCTTATCCTTCACCTCCACCTCCACCTCCACCTTCTTCTTCATCCACCTTCCTCCTTATTCTTCTTCTTATTATTATTCTTCTTCTTCTTCTTCTTGTTCGTCTTCCGATTCTTTTTCTTTCAACTACGACAACGACGACAACGACGACGTGGAGGAAAAGGAGGAGGAGGAGGAGGTGGAGGAGGATGAGATGGAGAGAAACCGAAGGACGACGAGAAAGAGCCTAACGGCGCTTATACTTTGCCGTCCGCTTACTGGCGATTTATTAGACGATCTAATTAATAGGCCGAACGCGTGCGCTCATAGTCCTTGCAAGTATGCGTTCCACCTTCTTCTTGTTATTATTATGATTATTATTATTATTATTATCCATCTTCTTTTTCTTCTTCATCTTCTTCTTCTTATTATTTTTCTTCTATTTCGAAGAAATCGAACTGGCGATTGCGATTTATTACCCCGAAGACGGAGATTCACGATTCCGAATTTCGTTATTCACGCGATAAACGGTTCCCTTATACTTTTGTTCAGAAGAGAAACTTCTTAGAGAAACTTCTTCGCTTTTTTTTACTCTTTTTCTTACAGTTTAAGAATAATCTTCTTCTTTTTTATCTTCGATATTTAGATATGAGGTTGAAAAAATGTTTTTCCTTTCTTTTTTTCTTTTTAAGATCGGATAAAAATATCTTTGGAAATTTTTACTCAATGATTTTATCTTTTTACTTATCATATTTAAATCATCAAAATGAATATACTGATTTTAATGTATTGCTTATCGGCAAGGCTAATTAATGGGCTTTAAACTGTCAACGTTTTTGTTGAACGGTAATCAAAAAATAAGCTTTTATTATTCAACGTGAATTGTTTTATTATTTTAACACGTTCCCGACCAAGGTAAATTTAAGTTAATGTTATTTAACACAATGTGTGAATTGTCTACAGTACGAATTTTAATTGATACACATTTTGAAATTGCCCGTAGTACGAATTTGTCATTGACAGTACTAATCACAAATTGTAACTAATTTATTTTTGGATTAATGGACAATTCAAATTTTTTATGTGTACCGAAAACTATGCACGTGACAGAGACTGTGTTAAATATCATCTTTATAATAAATAAACACAAAACCACGTTTATATCTCATCTTTCTAAATATGATTAATCATAATCATAAACAATCTGTGAAGAAACAATTTCAATCAGTATTATCGAAAAATTAGAGTATAAATTAGCCGATCTTTCGTATATTTCAATTTAATTTATTGCTGATGAATAATGCGTGAATAATTTTGGGAAACTAATATGAACGCTCGTCATTCGTTTCAGCTTTGAGACTAATGTCACGAGACGTCAAACGCACGCTGTTGCAATTAAGCGTGAAATCTAAAGCAACGTTCACACCGGTGCAACAACCCTCCTCACGAATCACGTAATCTCTGTTTTCAATTTCATCATTCGTCCTCGTTCTATCGCGAATATCCTTCAAATTTTTCCCTTGCGATTTCCTATCCTTTTTATTAACATTCTTTTCCACTTCGGTATTAGGAACCTTGCACAATCCTGATCTTCCATGATACTTCATCGCTATTCTTATCGTATGCGTTACTTCCGGGCTCGGACTTCTCGATGTTGCACAGGTAACTTCCGTTTTGTTTCTAACGTTGATCCGCAAATTTTCCGGAATTTCCGAACAGATACAATCGTCGACGTTTTGGAATTTTGTCTGCGTCAACGTCATCTCGTCGTCTCCTTCTTCTAAAATTCAATTGATTAAAATTAAAGGAAATTAAGTTAGAGAAATCATATTTAGGGGTTTCAGAAATTCTTTAATATAAAAAGGGTACGATGAGAAAATGAAATCAGATCAATGAACACGATTGGTTACACCTTGACACAGTGATCACTTTTTTAATTTGTAAATAAAACAAAAAAATATTCCAGCACCTTTATTAAATTGAGTTAATATTATAAAAGGATAGTTTTTCGTTCGAGTAAAGTAAATTTTGTGTTAATACGTGATCGTTTTAAATGGTTTAATCGCCGCGAGGTATGGCAACGCGACCGATCGTGAACGTTTCTTCTAATGCGTTGCATAGCAACAGGGGCAGCCCTCATAATGAATGCGCCCAGCCGAATGCAACCCTATTTTCACAGCTGCACCTTTCTCTCTACTCACTTTCCTTCCCTCTACTCTCACACGCGCACACCTTTCGCGCCTCGATTATCTTTCCATTTTCTCTTTTCATTTTCTAATACCATCACGTTTACCGCCATTAAATCGCACACGAGCTTCCAAACTGGCCAATCCTTTTCGTTCGTTTTTCACCTATATACAGCCGGTTAAATCCGAACCGATAATCGCCATAGTCAGGAAAGAAAACTTTACTAGCTTCCTTTAATTAGATTTCCTTCCCCGCTTTTGCGTTACCTCGTTAATTGATTTTAATCAAATTTATATACGCGCGATATTAACTGAGTTACCAATCCTCGATCTACAGTTTCTTTAAATTCATATTTCTTTTCGTTTTTCTTTTATTTTCTTATTTATCGCTTTATGGGATAATTTAAAAAAATTATATTTGCTAAAGGGTAAATCGATTTAATTAAATTTAAATACCTCGCGGAATATTAACGAAATATCCAATCAATTTTCGATCTGCAATAACTTTATATTTAAAATATTATTATAAATATTTTTTGCAATTAAATAAGTATGAAAATTAAGTACAAATTTGAATTAACGCACATTTGTTAATTACCCACTATACAAATAACAAATTGAAACCAATTATTTTAAGGATTATTAAACAACATAATTACATTTATCGCATATATAGAAAACAATAAGCTTAGTAAAGATCGTGTTAATTAAATTGAAATACCTTTCCCGATATTTGACAAACCCAATTATCGACCTACAATTACTTCAATTTAACATTCTTCTTATAGTAATACTATTTATCGCGTAATAGGTAAATTAAAGTGAGAAAGAAAAAGAAAGGAATACAATACTTACGAGAAATCCGAAGAATGTTCCTGGTACATTCTTCGAGGGTTGCGACTTCCTTCGTGCATTCCAATGAATCTACCTGGCTCTTCCTACTTCTTCTTCTTCCTCCTACTCCTACTCCTCCTCTTCTCACACCATCAGAAAATGCATCTAACTTTCTCCCACGGGATTCCTTATCTCTCTCCTTACCGATCTCGCTAACTTTTTCTAAAAGTTCGTCGAGAATATCGTCCTTGTCGTCTTGGGTATTAACATCCAAATAGTTTGATTTGTTTCGTTCGCTAGCTTGAGACTCGATTAACGGTATCGGTGATTCTGGTAATTCGAGTGAAACGATCGTCAAATATGCCGGTCTTTCTTTTCGTAATCGTTCCTGCCAAGATCTGTAACTGATTGTGAGATTATAAAAGAAAAAGAAGAAGAAGAAAAAAACAAATAGAAAAAAGGTCATAAGAATAACGTTTGAAATTTATCGAAAGGTACAGCAATGTAAAACCAAACAAAAATAAAAATAACAAAAAAACAAGAAAAGAAGAAGAAGAAGAAGAGAGAAAATGATCGGTAGAGAGAAAATTGCGCGAGAGACGATCGTACGTAGATGATAACGATGTTTATAACGATATTGCCAGTCGTTCGTATTTTAATACTACTTCATTTAATAACGTTATAATATTGCTCACGGTTGTGCTCGTGCATATACTTCTGCTTGTGTTTGTACATTCGATCAACGGTTAGGTTCTTTATTAAGTCGTCCAACCGCGATCGTTTGTTCTGTTCCGACCGTTAAATTTTAGTGCGTTTAATTAAGGGTTCCTACGGAAAAAAAGAAAAAGGAAAAAAAAAATCTTTAAAAAGAAGAAGAAGAAGAAGAAAAAGAGAAGAAATGGAAGAAGATTTTTCAAATCGAGGACGACTACGTAAACGATCCCCCTTCCCTCCACCTCCATCCCTTCCCCCCTTTCTCTCTATTAGAATCGTTAACAATAATAATGTCGTTTGAGAAATAGTCGGATCGAAAATAATTGATCGTATTTTTGTGAAAAATGTTTGAAAGATCGAATCGATTCGATTGCGGATTCACCTCGGCAGAGATAATCGAGTAATCGTACAAATGATCGGTTAAGTTTCGTTAAGAAAAGAATAAGATGAGTAAAAGTAAAAGTATGAAACGATCTTTCCGTGACCTTCACGTACGCGTTCAGAGAGACGCATATCGGATAATTAAAGGTGGAGTCGCGAGCTTGAAAGAAGGAAAGGAAGGAAGGAAGGAAGGAAGGAAGGATGGGAAAGAAAGAAGAAAGAAAAATACCTTGAAGATCCACGAGTTGAAAAGAAGGAAGAGGAGGAGACGTAAGGACCGGCAGGATGACAGATATGGCGCGGTGGCGTGCGCGACCTTGAACCGCTTGACCGTTCCTTCAAGCTCCGAGGATCCTCGAGAGTCAGGCGCCGAATGTAAAGTCCTGGCACCTCCTCAACAAGTCGACCTCTTCTCCCGCAGGAAGCCACGATTATCACCATCGATTAACCTCTTTTTCTCATATTATTATTATTCTCTTCTTCCTTTAAAAAAAAAAAACAAAAAATTAGACAAATATTTTCATTTTTTATTAACGCTAAAGTATTTGATTATTAAGCAATCATATTAACAATAAATACATTCTATCGAGGACATTTTCGTAATATTTACAAAATTACAATAGCAACGTTTCCTGGCACCAGTAATAATAATAAATTGTCAGAATGAAAAAATCAGATTAATTGTTCGTGAAAAATAAATGTTAGGTTTGGTTGGTAACGTTAATCGAGCGTCGACGAGAAGATCGATTCCCTCGTGGGCGAAGCCAATTAGCGACGACTCATTCTGCCGGATCATCATCACGGACTAAACTGCAATCATAGTTTGCATTCTACATCCTATCTCTAAAACTTTTCATCATTAACTTCATTCTCCAAGAAAATATCTCACCAATTAAATATGATCTAATCGATAATCGAATTCATATTATTTCGTATTAACGATAAGAATGAGTCATCGATAAATGATTCGCCAATCGGCAGGTGGTCTTTGAACAATCGAGGAAGAGCCGCACGAGACGTGGTGAATCGACCTGTAGACCTAAACCATTCTTTGGACAAGGTAAAGGTAAAACAGGGGGAAGGTGGTAGGGGAAAGGAAGACATTAAAACGTTGTTTAACAGGCTATTTTGAATTTTAATGTTCTTGTTGGAGCTAGCCAAGGTGTGGGATAGATTAGTTTTCGTTCGCATGACTGTCAGCTACTTGCCGCAGGCTTGACTGACTGACTATCTTCTGACTATGCTCTCAGCAAACTGGACCGACCAACCGAATGACCGAACAACCGGCTTATTCTTTCTCTTTCTTTCCTACTACGATTCATTGTCGACCACTCGTTCACATTTCAAGGGGACCACACCGATATTAATACACCTATCTCTCTCTCTCTTTCTCTCTTTCTGATCCTTTCAACAGAAATGTTTATTAATTCTTGATAATATCCAACCTTTCGCTCAATAAAATTCATCAATTTCTTAGGTGTCGTTCGATATTCATTTTATTCTACAGTTTTTCTAGTTGTTAATCTTAAGACGTTCCAGCCAGCTCATCGTTTAAAACGATTCACGATAAATTGCTTTTTAAACACTACTAGCTCATGCACCGATTAGAATAACCGAGAGACGCGAATTATGTACGATCGGTGGGTCGGACGAGACCCGGTGGAAAGATTAGATGCCGATTAAAATTCATGACGTGTCCGAAGGTATAATTTGATTTCGTAGGTGTTCGAGCAGATCGAGTTACCAAGAACCAACCAACGAACGAACGAATGAACGAACAGACGGACGGACGGACGGACAGACGAATAGACGAGCATACGAACCTCTTTTTAGTAGTTTCGTTGAAAGAACTCAGACGTGAAGAGTGCGGAACGCAAACCTGTAGAAAACGTTCACGATCAACGAACGAATCAACTTTTCTTTTCAAACGCCAGACATATTATATCAGGATGTGTGTGTGTGTGTGTGTGCGCACGTATGAGCGCTCGTATGTGTGTGTGTGTGTGTGTGTGTGTGAAGGAGAATTCAAATTGAAACGCCCTCATTAGCGATTCGTCGCGCTAATCGAGCATAAGGATTAAGACTTATAGATAACTGGAGTCTAAAAGGGGGAATGTATTCCACTCGCGTACCTCCCCCTCTTACACTCCCCTTTCTCAAGATTGATAATAACGACGTAATCTCGTAGTAATTCCTCAAGGTTCTTCTACGCCACAGCAATCTTAATCTTCTTCAGATAATCATTGGAAAGTAAGAAAATTTTATTATCAATGAAATACAGTAAACTACTGATTAATAAAATTGAATAGATCATAGGTTAAACAATTATGCTAATTTAGAAATCAAATGAATTTTTTTCCGACATCACATATTTTTCTCCTCGCCAATAACAATCGTGTTATTGGGATAGCCTATATTTCTGTGTTCTTTTTTTTTTTATTATTTAACTTTCCTTTTATTATCAAAGAAGAAGAACAATTTTCATAGCGAATAAAATGAAACGTTTTAATTAGGGGTCTCGAGTAATTTGAAAATGATTAAATCCTATCAACAATGATGGTCGAGATAAATATAATCGAACGTGAGAACGAGCGCGATAGTAATCGAAATCGTACGATTCGAAAAAGGGGAGAACGAAAAAAGAAACGAAAAAGGAAAAAGAGAAGAAAAAAAAAAGCTGGATCCTGTTTGATGATAAGTCGAAGTAGAAGGGGAAAAGATTTTTCCTATGGGTGGAAAAAACAACGTTCTAAATCGTGATGGGCGCGCGCGCACGCGAGTGAACTCGAGTTGGCTTGGTAATCCAGACAGATGGGACTCGTTAATGGGACGCGCGCGAGTAATTCGCAAGAAATCTAATAATACCAAAGAAACCACCCCCTTAGCCCCTGCTTTACCCCAGCTCATAATTTCTACCTCCAAAGAGGCTACGACGACTTTTCTCTTCGTTCCCACGTTTTACGAGAACGCGGAGGGGGAGTGGGGGTGGGGTGAACAGGAGGCCAAGGAGGGTGGAAGGTTTCTTCTCTCGAGCTTCGCGATTATTAAAATTCGCGATGACTCAAGTTGTAGATTACTATTTTCGAAAAAATAACTATCCCATTTTTCTCTTTCCACGCATTTCTATAGATTTGTTTCGATAATTTCTTTTGTTTACCTATTCGTGGTAAAAAATTTTAATTGATTACTATTCTGTTACCTTGAAAAATATTCTCAACGTATTAACACTATGTATAATATATTTTCTCCTTATTAAATGTTATATATAAATATTTCTTTCTTTTTTTTTCTATTATATTTAATATATTAATATGCAATAATTTTGAGATTTAATATTTTATTTAATATAATTTCTTTATATTTTTGATAATTTTTGGGGCGATATAATATAATATATATTTGTTTTGTAAATATTATAGGCATATGATCCAGACGGATAAAATTATGCGAACGTCGTGCAATCAAATGAGAGAAAATATAAGATCGTCGAAGTTTTTTAACAAATAGAAAAAAAAAACAAGTAACAAAAAAAGGAGAATCGAGAAGCGCGGAACTCGTTAAGCTGTTTGCGGTTTCCTCCCTCCTTTCATTCGATTTTTTTTTACTTCTCCTTTAAGACACGCCTTTAATGTAAACATATTCCGCGAAGAGATTCCCCTCCCCCCTTTCCGTTCCTATACCCTTCCCTTCTTTCTTTCTCTTTCTTTTCCCTTTCCACTGTTTGGTCCACCCACGACGAGAACGACAACGAACGGATCTTGCTGCAGTTCTGGATCGATCTTCACTTTGCGATACGATCTTTGATATTGGATTAAATTCATTTAACCAACATCCCGATAATTTTCCCTATAAAATCCAATTTTTATTCCCACCAATAAAATGCCAATAAAAAAAATATCCTTCGTGACAATCTACAAATCGCGATCGAAAAAAATATTTAAATCAATGCAAAAAGATTTTTGTTTGAGTTTAAAACGTTTAACTCCTGACAGAACATATTTTAAAAATTTTGTTAACTCGTAAATGAAAAAATGATTGAACATAGTAGTTAAATAATTAAAGAATCATACCTAAATCAAGTGAAGAATCTTCAAAACAAAATACGAATGTTTGACGCAAGGAAAGATATCTTTTAAGAAAATTATACGTACAAATAGAATATGATTGAACATAGTAATTTAATAATTAAAGAATTATACTGTAAATCAATGTAAAGGATTCTCGCATAGAAAATTGTAGTATACGATATCAGAAAAGAGAATTATACTTTTCAAGACTACATTATGAAAATATTTTTTGGAGAAAGTAATAGTAGAATAAAGTGAGTATCGATCGAAGAAGGGTATCGAAAGTCAAACTCCCTGATATATCGGTGGTGTTTCGAGAAAGTTTGGCTACGCCGTAGAAAGGACCACCCAAGCGATTTGAAGGTCCGCAAGCGAGATCGCGATATCGTATCGATCTTCGGTGCGGAACACGGGCTCCGAAACAACACGACTGGCCAACCAATGGAAAGAAACAAGCCAATTTCCGAAAAGGAAAAACCAAATCGATACGTATACCTTCCTTGTATTCCAATATACTCACATCAGCTGAAAAAACAGGGGATTAGAAAAAACAATTTTCTTTTCAAGCGATCAAACGTCTGCAGAAATTAATCGATTAATAATTGTTCGATGTAATCGTATTAACCAATATCTACCATTCATGCAAATTTAATGACTGATAATAATGATACAGATTTTTTCAATGCAAACGTATAGTCATACCATGTTAAAGAAACTCGTGCGTGTTTTAGGGTCGTTGTTATTGTCTCCTTAACAGAAAATAAAACGAAGACACAGAAGGTTGTGTCACGAAAAACACGTCCGGGAATTTAAAAAGTCATTGACCTCTTCTTCTTTACGATCCACTGAAGATAAATTTTCTCTATTGTTTCAGAAAGTTGGTTCGATAGAGGCCTTAAGGCTATTCCCCCTACTTTACTTTCATATACGGGACTCTTCTTTGACTTTAAGATGGACTACCGCCGATTTAGCGTAACCATGCGTAGACCTCTATAAAAATAAAAAATAAGAAAGAGAGAGAGAGAGAGAGAGAGAGAGAGAAATAGAGAGAAACGTTGTGGCGATCTTTTTCGAAACACCGACACTATGTAATTTCGATTGGTCGTTCCGCGAAAGCCGACGAAACTGAACGGTAATTGGCAAAATTGGCAATCCTGCCAATCAATCGTTAAATATCAAGGATACCTTGGCCCCACTTGCTTATGCTCGTGTGATTCCGCATCTGTGTTCGCGCTTACGCGTTGTTAGCACACACATGACCCTCTCTCTCTCTCTTTCTCTCTCTATTTTATTCCTATCTTTCTTTTTGCCCCGTAGCCCTCCGAGACGAATAAATTTTGGTCGAAAAATTTCCGGGAAATAAAAAGGAACCCACATATGGAGACCACGACAACAACAACAACAATAACAACAACT